ACACACACAACAGCTTGTTAATGGTGGACCCAAGTGTGAAAATAACAACAAAGTTACATGCAAGTCAGCATTTGGTGCTGTCCCTGACACCTTTAAACACTCTCGGGGTCAGAATGGAAAATTCATGACGGAGGCAAAGAGCTGCTATGAATGTCAATGGCATGTCTGAACACTGCAGAGTTAAAATAGACAGGAAGCTGTCAGTTGGACATTGAGTAATGCTCACACTGAGCATCATTAATCCTAATAGGGGTGTGATGGAGCTGTTCCTAAAACAAGAGAGGAATGATTGGTTTACCTTATGACCCCACATGATATACAGTATGTGCAGTTGTGAGATACTGTTGTTTTGGAAGGAGTCACTATACTTCATCCTCATAATGAGCTTTCTGACATCATCATTCATAATGAAGCTAAGAAAGGGAGTGGGGGGGATATATTAAAGATATTCTATGTACGTTTTTTATATATTTATCTTTTTGTACTTCATTATTTACATATAAATAATTATCATTTTATTTTTTGATGTTTGTGGTGATTTGTGTATGTTTATTTTGTTTTATGTGTGTCGAAAATTAAGGACAACAACAAGAACAATAATAATAATAATAATAATACAAATAATATAAAACTTTATTTATTTAATATAATATTTATTTAATATATTAATATAAAATGATATAATATTTATTTATAATATATATATTTATTTATTTATATGTGTGTTTATTTTAATATAATTTTTAATGAATTTTTTTATAATATATATTTATTTATTTATGTGTGTTTATTTTAATATTATTTGTAATTAATTTATTTATATATTTTAACACACACACACACACACACACACACACACACACACACATATATATATATATATATGTATATGTATATATAAACAAAACTAAAGCTAATAAACAACAACAACCACAACAACAACAACAAAAAACTCATTCATGCCCAAAACAGGTATTACTGTAATATGATGTTTTTATCTTAACAAATACCATTCTTTAAGATAGCACCATCCCACATGGAAAAGATCTCTAAACCATGACGTGTCCCTCACAACATGGCCAGAGGTATTACAGTACATGCCCATCTCAAAATGTCTGAGGTCATGCTATTTCTTAGAATAAACAGAACCAGCATGGCCCAACATTTTGTATTTCTGACCCAGAGCCACATAGACAGTTTTACTGGACTTTGAAACTATCAGCAGAGATTTCTTAATAGTGTGTGTAAGTGGACTGTTAAACCTCCAGTGGGCGTATTCTTTTTGTTGTTGTTGTTGTTGTTGTTTTTTGGGGTTTTTTTGCAGTTCACATCCAAGTGGAAGTTTCAAGTGGGCAAAATGTTGAAACTGAAATGTAATTTTAGCATAAGTGTGAGGGCCTCAGGCAGGTGCATGGACTGACATAAGAAGAGTGCACTCTGTGCACAGCATTGCACCTGTCATTTAATTGCATCTGTCAGCAAGAATTGCATAATTTTTATTCAAAAAGTAACATATAAAGTATGCATTGCAACACAAAATAATATTTCTTTTTGTTATCCGGTTTATCTTCGTGAGTCATTCAAAAAATCTTGCTCAGGTGCAGTGGTTGCTAGGTGTACTTTATTTGTGAAATGGACCTCATGTGTTGACTTGCAGACTTCACTTGTGTTTCTGGCAGAACTGGATCTTGCTTGAGTCTCACTATCAAATGTCTTTTATTTATGTTTCACTTTCTCTGTCCTGGGAACCACTGAACTACTCATAACCAACCATTATGGCAGCGGATTTTAGTCAAAATAAAGGCACAGAAGAAAACTACTTTCACAGATAGCCTAAATACGCCCACATCCAATTATATGGAGGAACTAGACAAATGTACTTTGTTTAGTATAAAGAATGCAGAAAGGGTGTTTTATTCATTTTATTAAAATGCACTTTAATTTCAAAATATTTGCTAAATACTTTTGGAAAAAAATATTTTTGACTAGGTATAGAACATTGCACTTGTTTTGTGCTATCACTGTTTATTTATAACAACATTTATAACATTATTATTATTATTATTATTATTATCCTAGCAGACACTTTTGTCCAAAAGCAAACTTCATTTGTCTGCTTGGACAATTAAAGATTATTGCAATACTTTTTTTTTGTCTCTAAAAAGTACCAGTCAAAACTTTGGACACACCTAATGAGTCATTACAGCATTTTCACATTTTAAAATTATGGTAAAATCTTTAAAACTATCAAAAAATAACACAATAAAGCATTTGAATTATGTATCATCATCATAAAAAAAAAACTTCCTTATATTTTAGATTCCTAAATAGTTCTGTAAAATAGCAGCTAAACTTTGCCTAGATTACTGCTCTGTACATCTTGGCATTTTATCAACTTCCTATTTATTAACTTCATGAGCCAACAATCTTGGAGTTGACATGTGTGTCTTGTTTGTTGCTTTTCCTCCTGTCAATTAAAACTAAATAAATAAATAAATAAAAAGAAAAAAAGAAATGGACACAGACAGACAGACAGACAGAGAGACAGACAGACAGACAGACAGATAGATAGATAGATAGATAGATAGATAGATAGATAGATAGATAGATAGATAGATAGATAGATAGATAGA